AACCTAAATGTAATTTACCACCCATCCATTTCAGAAAAAGAGGAACTAAAGCCAATCCTGAACTGCAAAGTGTTTTTATGAGCTTGCTAGTAGATACTTGTATGAGTCTAAAAATGTGTTGTTTTTCACTCTCATGCTACTTTTCCAGGCACTATTTTCTTAATATGGAACTCTAAAAGGTATCAGAGGTATATAAAAAGAGAAACTAAATTACAAAAAAATACTATCTAATGTTGTGCTCATCTTGGCAGGCAGGGAAAGGTTATTAGTTAGCACCGCTTTCTAGCTGAAAAAGTGCAGCCATAAATTCTTGCTCTCATGCGTGAGTGGCAGCCACTTTTATTCTCGCACAGGAAAACAAGTTTCATGCAAACTCTTATTTTGGGATACAAGATACTGAAAAAACATGGAGTTGAAAGATAGGACTCAGTTATTTTAGTAACCTCCTACCTCTTTACTAATTATTTGGGAAGAAATATACCATTAAAATATGTTGACAGTAAAGGAAATGATGGAAAGGTAAATAAGGAGAATGTCCCCTTTTACCAAATAGGTTTATATTAATTACAATTTATAAGATTTTGATATTATTTCACGAATACATTAATCGTACAGGAGAAGAAAAAACAAAAAAAAAGCTGTATAGCTGAAAAGCTATTACCCTAAAAAGGAAGGTACGTGTTAGTCTGTTAAATGCTCTTTCCTGGGAGTTCCTGCAGTTGAAAAGCTGAAGCAATTTGTGGAGGTAGGAACATGAATTTATAGCAAGTGTGGGATTATATTTTCATTAAATGAATCAGTGAGACGATGAGTGAAATATTGTCAGTATTTTTTGGTGTCTCTTCCTTCGAATCAGTATTGAAAGGAGTTTCAAAAGCATTCAGTGTTCAACAGATTGTACTAAATGTGAGCATTTAGTTTGCCAGAAAGAAGGTAGTTTTCATCTTTGCTTTTAACAGAGGGCTAAAAATTTTCAGCTTTTATGCAGTTAGAGCATCAAAAATCAAAATGAGTCTTATTTTGACAAGGAATTGCTTAGCAACACTTCTGTTAGTTGCCCGTCTCCTGAGGTCTAGCATGGAGACCTCCCAGCTTAGAAGGATACACCGATGATGCCCACTTATACAAGAAGTCAGATCCCATCGGCACAACCGCATCCGTCAAGATGTTACGGAAATCCTCCAACGTGAGCAGGGAGCTTCGGGGAGCGCTGCCGGGACCTGGAGCCCTCTCCTGCTCCCTGCTCTACTCGTCCCTCGCGCTGCAAAGACTGATTTTTCTCATGCCACTGAAATCAGCCTGAGGTTTTAGGGTGTTTATACACAACAGTATTTATGTTTTTTTCTGCGTATGCACAAAATTGTGTGTGGGTGCATGCTTATGTATGTTTTTTGTTATTAGGAGTGGTTTTTTTTTTTAGTATTGGGGATGGATTTCTGTCTTTATAAAAAAAAATACAGAAACACCACTGTAAAAAGAAAAAGCTAACTGAAGGAAGGGGACAAACTACAGGAATTTCTTAGTACTTTTCAAATTCACTCTTAGTGGGAGTGATAAAACCAACAGTTATGTAGAGATCTTGCCCATTAACTGTTTTGTCAGAAATGCGTGTTGCAAATGCTGCCATGTCAATAGGCAAAATGGTTGAATTCAATAAATAATCCTTTTGGGTCCATAGGTAGGTACTGTTTCTCTTCATTAGGCTTTGAAATATTCATGACCTAAAGACAAAGGAAGGAAGCAGCTTGTCTTTTGCAAATATGTGTCTTGTTTTTCAGAGGGGAGAAAATAACATGTAAATTAGATTAGTATGTTGAGAGGGAAGGGGTTGTTGGGGTGCCTCCGAGTCTGGTAAAATATTTCTTCTCAATGGAATTCATCAGCTTCTTGCTCTTGGCTTCTGAAAGGCAGCTTTGGAAAAAGCAAAAATGGGCTTTTGGGTGAAGCCTGCCCAAGTGCGTAGCTGTTATCGGACAGTTTGAGATTGTGGCGTTTCTTTAAGTGTTGACTTTGATTAAATTTGGAGGAGGGAGAAATGAGCAGTATAAAATTGGGAATGGCAGGAGAAGTCGTCCTGAGTCAAGCTGTTATAGAGCCACAGGTTGCAGTTGGTTGTATTTCAGGTAAAATAGCATCTCCTCCACTGCTCGTGTCTTTATGTTTCTGTGCTACCTGATTTAAACCTGCTGTTTGGTAATGTGAATATATTTCATTTCATGGACTGTTTTTTTGTGACAAAGTGCTGCTTGTAGCAACTCACTGCATATTGAGGAGAAGGAAAAACACTCCTCATGTATTATACATTTAGCTAAATCAATACTATTCTGCTGCATTAAGGACCTGTTTTTCAAACCAAAATATTTCAGACTGAACATAGGAGTTGCTTTGTGAAGGGTTACGGCATTGCAAGGAATACTAAAGCAAAGCTTTCCTGTCGAAAGAAGCATGTAATAGCAAACGATGTGTTAGGTAGGCAATGAGCAAAGATTTTTAAACTATCTAATTCTCAAAAAAAAACTTTTCAAAAATAACCTTTTCTTCCTCGTTTGCTTTCCCGGGCCCGTGATCTGTCGGACACTTGGCGTTCGTAGCCGCTCAGCAGTGGGAGCCGTCCTGCTGCTTCCTCCTCGGGCGCGCGCCGCCTCGCGCCGCCTCATGTCCGCCCGGCCCCACACGAACCGCCCGGGCGCGCCCGGCGTCCGCGGCAGGCCACGAGCAGGGGGAGGCCCTCAGGGAAGGGGGTGTCGTTAAACGATCTCGGTGCCGACCACCAGCCATTTTAGCTGCTTTAAACCCTGCACCTACAACATGTGGCCCAAAACTATGCGCGTGAGAATAGTTCTCGATGCAAAATGTTGCAATAACTGCTTTGGGTTAGCAGGGCTGGCCGCATATAGGAAGTATGAAGGGTGGAGTGGGCTGGAGGAGCCACAACCCACTGTGGTTGAAGGTTGGGGAGAGTGTGGGTATTGCTTTTCCAAACAAGTTTTCAATTACTGCAGCACTGTCGCCTTTTCACTTTTGCCTCCACGTGGAGCTCAAATCGGAGATAATTTTGCTTTATGTAACACAGCTACAAAATAATTATGCAGCACAACACAGCAAAAGAGAACGAGAGCGTTTGAAAAATGCATGCTTAAAAACACAGAGCACAAGCAACAATATTATTTCCCCTTAAAAAAAAAAAAAAAGGTAATAGTAGCAGTGGGAAAATAATCCAGTTGCTTTAAGGTAGCTTTTAAAAATAGAGACTAGCAAGATGAATGCTGTAGACTTCTCCAGAGCAAACATACAATTGTAAGCTGATTGTGGCAAATTCCTTAAATTGCAGCCCCCAGGAATATAAGTTTTAAAGAGACAGTCTCATGTCCAGAAGCCAGCGGCAGCTCGGATTTAATGAAACAGCAGTGACAGAGTAAAGTCTAAGTGCTGCTGCAACTGGTATGAAAATGGAGATTGGCTATAGTGCAACGGCTCAAATAAGTGAGCTAATGCCCCGACCTGGAGCAAGCTGAGAACCACAGAAGCTCTCCCAGCAGCTGGTAGCCTGAGTCAAATGGTCATGTGGCTGCACCTCTCTATGTGGTGGAGAAGGGTGCAGGAATTTGGATTGCTAGTGGAATAAACAGAGAAGCAGAGAAAAATGTTCTTACTAGATCTCATTTTTATGGGGAAGGTTGTAGACAAGGCTTTGCCTGTGTTACATGTTGCAGAGAAAGAAATGTTTGTAGAATATTTGTTAAATCTCTGAGCAAAGTTATAAGGAAATGACCTGATTGTAGTGACAGCCGTTGCTGGAACAACAAGACCGCCGTCTTCAATGGACTGGAGCAGAACAGGCCTTGACGGATTTAGTTGCAGCTTTCATCCTATGCAAGGACACAAGTGAAGGCGGTTGATCATCGTGATAGTCATGTATCTGAATACAACTAGGGGACAAGTATTTTACCGAAAAAAGAAAAGCAATGGTTGGCCAACCCAAGTACAAAGTCAGTGAGAGATCACATGTGGTTCCGTCTTTCAAAACAATACTGGGAGAATTCGGTTCAAGAATCACGTTGGGCAACAATCTGACCCTGCAGAGTGACACAGTCCAGGTTGAAGAGGTGATGCCCTCCATGCTCTTAGGGGTGGGATTAATAAGTGGGATGAGTAGTTCCTCGTCAGTCTTTGTGCCCAGATCATGACCCAGAATATCATTAATACAGCTTTGTGAAGTAAGGCAGTATTCAAAACAGAATGCTGCTGCATTTGATAAAATGCAGTATTCACCAGCCTGGCCTTTAATACTGGATCTGGTTTCCAATTATGCTTCCGTTCATGCAACAGTTGCAGGGAGTGTGTGTGTGGGTGTACGTGTGAGAGAGAGATTGATTTCGTTCTTTAAAAATGTGAAGTCTTCCCTAACGATGAACACCCATCAGAATTGCTAGCACTTATATCCATTTTCTGCTTCAATGTGTTACCAGCATTAATCAGTCTGCACCGTATCTCTGTGAGAAATGGAGGTTATAGCTGGAGGAATACATACACATTTCCAGAATGGCAGCATCAGTTCAGATATTGCTGAAAAACAGGCCGTGAAAACAGGCTGTAAATACTTTGCCAGAAGTAAAGGGTTAATGTCAGACTCAGATTGCAGTTTTGAAGTGAATGTGTTAGGGCTTAGCTTTTTTTCTGCAAACTGTGTGGGTAAAAATGGAATAAGAGAAGTACATGTCATTCGTCGCTGATGCTGTGTGCTAGAACAGTCTCTTGTATCTGGGACAGCACATGTTGGGCAAATATAATTCCTACCATTTTACATGCAGCGTCTTTATATTCCTGATGATTGTTCCCAACTAGCATCTGAGTATTTTGGGCTGTACTCCTGAGCCAGGGTAATCAAATAATATGAAAATATGCGTTCTTTAATAGTTAACATATTTCCCCCAGGAGAAGTGAATAGGAGTGCTGTTTTTGTGATTTAGCCATTCTAACTGTTTGTTTCTTTTCTGTAGGTTTAAAGACTTACCTGATATCTGGTCAGAAAGTGAAGGACCCTCACTGCAGCTGCTCGCAGGCTCTGCTTCCTGGCTTGGAGTCGGGAGATGCAGTGAAGATCCAGGGAGCGTCGTCAGCCGAGAACACCGGTGATTTAACAAAGACTCTCAAACATGCAGAAAAACCTAAGGTCAGTTCTTGTTTCAGAGTCAAGCAGTGTGGACCTCAAGTTGTACCAACAAGTGGCAGTTGAGCAGACAGGAGAACCTTATGGTTTGCTTATTCATTTCTTTATATATATATAAGTTTGTGGGAGGAAAAAAATTGCAAAGCAAAATGCGTGACAAGGAATCTCTGAAGTAATATGAGCACTTTTAAAAGATGATTTCAGATAAATAATTTTCTTAATATTTATGTTTCAGGGCTGAGACATCCGACCTTATTTATCAATGGTCTTATTTTATAAAGGAGGGGAAAAAAGGAATCAGTGCCTTGTGCAGCTGTAACTTCTGTGATTTTCTGCGTTCACTGTATTCTGCTTCTGCTTTTCCCTATCGTGCATGTCACCTGCATATGAACCTTTCGTATGAATATGTAGCAAACAGCACTAATTCTCTCTTGCCCCTCATCTCTGTACCCCCCCCTCCCCTGCCAAAAAAAGGGAAAGATAACAGGTTTGTGGGGTAGGCTCTGGTATGCTCCTGTAGGCTGTGACGGTGTTTTGTATTTGTTTGCTGTATAACTCTTTATCTACACCTAAGGGCGATGATTTGTATGGATTCAGCTTAGAAAAGTGCTAACATTTTGTTATGTTCACACCTCTCACAAGAGCTCTTGACAACTAAATCTGTGAAACAGTGTGTATTACTTTGTTGTTTCACTGTTACTCTCAATCTTCCAAGGCAGAATAGACTTCCCAAACAACAGATGACTTGTTTCTTTTCCCATGGGCAAATAGTTCTTCTTATTGGGCTGGCTGAGCTGGTCACTAATGGTCAGAACCACAGCTGTGAAATGGCCATCTGAACTCCACCATCATTAGATTTCATTGGTAAAAAGCCAGCTTACTCCTGAGAGGATCTCTTCAGCACAAATTTTATATTTAACTGACAGACTTAATGGACAAATGTCTTTGCTGCTTGTATGTGTGTTGTCTGGATTAGGAGGGATGGCAGAGGCCTCTACCCTGCGTCTGTGCTTGGTTTTAGTTTTGGACTGAGAATCCTCCATCAGCAGTGAGGCCAGCCAGCAGCCTGATGCAGACTCGCAGCCACGAGTGTGTAACTGCAGGAAGCAGCTTTAGCCATATTTGCTCCTTCCCCTAAGTATGCACTGCCTACAGTTCGACTGGTCCTAAGCTGTTGGTGGGACTTTTATCTTCCTGTTCTTTTCCCATATATAGAACATCCCTGACATGCCAGCTCTCCAGCTCTTGCTTGTCTTTCAGTGAAGGTGACAGGAAAATCTGCCGCAGAGCAGTGAATCTGAACCACTGAGTCAGCCTGCACTGCTCGCTGCATGGCCAAGGAGATGTGCTGAGGCTGACTCCGAGCAAGGGGCTGAGAGGCATTTTGCATTGGCACAGGCACCTCGCTGGGCCCATGGTTCACTCGGTGTGACTGTAGGTATCCTCATGGCATTTGAGTGGCACAACCCTACTGTTAGTGTAGCATAATTCCTGCGTCAGGTAAGGAAAGCAGGGAGGCCTGAGTGCCATTGAGCTGCACGACCTTGTGCCGTTGCTTTCAAGGGATGCTGTGACAGCAGTGAGTAACAAACCAGTCTGCTCTGAGTGGTGAAGGAAGAAGAAAGCACCAAGTGGAGCAATATTGAGCTCTTGAGCTCAGTATTGACGTGAGCTGCCAGTGCATGGAGTAGAGTGAAAAGAGGAGGGATTAAACCAAGCAGTAAAACTCAAGTTACTGCTGTGAGAGGAAGTAAGTATGCCCTGTTAATGTCAGACAGCAAAGTGAAGCTTTAACTGGAGGGCAGTTGAGGTATCATACTGTTCTGGCTGCTCTTAAGGTTTACATTTATTTAATACATTTATTATGTATTCAGTTGGGGTACTTGTTAAAATAACCCAAGTCCAAAATATAATCTGCTGTTGAGATTCTTCTGGCCCTTCAGGAAGTGTTTTCTAAAACACAGATGACTTTGAAGAAAGGTGACACACTTATGTCACTGTTCCAAAACAAGTAGTATGTAACCTTGAGACAGGCTGCTGGCACACACTGTTTAGTTGACTGCCTGGTCCACTTCCCATGGCTTTTTACTCTGAGACCATCTTGACATCTTAATTACTGTTTAAATGCTGAAAGCTGATCTGCACAGTGCAGAAGTGCAAACATGCCCATCCAGATAAATGAAGGAGAAGCTAAAATTGGCAATTCAAGAAGAGAAGCTTCTTCAGAAAAACAAGTGCCTGCTCAATGTCAGCCTTCTTGCATACCCTGTCTACCTTTGTCCTAAATTTATGCTTAGAGGTACCTGTTTTTATTCATCACCATGAGCACTGTAGGTCTTGGCAGTGATTTCCCAAGCAGACAACACTTTGCAGATAGTGCTGCCTGACTTGTCCCAAATACCTGGATGCTGAAGTGAATCTTGAATGACCCCAGACTTAGCTTTTCTGTGTTGTCTGGTAAGCAGCTGTACAATGCATGACCAAAGTGTGGGAGAGAGGGTGTAGCACAATGAGGATGCAATGCACAAGAATCCTGAGAAATTTAGAAACACTTGTGTACGTGTTCTGTGATTGCGGTTGGAGCGTGTTGGCGATTGCAAATGGTACCTGCCTCACAAAGCATTACAGAATGCAGACACTGCAAACTCTGCAGCAAGTTGTCAAGTATGGATCAAGGTCAGATCCAGCCTTTTCTCTGTTGGAGTAGTCCATTGCTGAAGTGGCTGTAGACCAGGAAGGCTGGGTCAGACTTTCAAGGAACATTTGTCATCAATGCTAGAGGGTTTTTTTTGTTGGTTTTTTGCTTTTTTGTTTGTTTGTTTTGTTTTAAGGAGTAGGCTTCTTTTTTACTTTTTTTTTAAGCCTTCAGTTTGCTGTTAGAGTCTGGAGATAAAATTTGCAAAAGAATCACGACTTACAGGCCAACTGTTTTAACTACAAAGCTGTAAACAGTATCAATGTGGGAGGAGATGACTCCTACTAAAAACACTGGGAGGTGCAAAACAATAGTCAAGTTAAAATATTCTTCTTTTAAGGTGACCATTTTTGGGGGAAAAAATACTTTAGTGTTTTGATCTTGAAGGGATGTTTAGGAAAGGCAGGAAGGAAAATGTGGCAGTAATTGATCCATGTTTTTACATTATATCTTGTCCTCTCCTTGGTGATATCACTAGTTAATTGCGAAATATCACTGATGTATGAGTATCAATAAAATACCTGTTTCAAGTCGTAAAGTTTGTTCATAACAACATGACAAAGAAAGATGCTAAAAATAGAAGTAAATCAGCTATAGTGATTCTTGAATGAAAACACTGTATAACCTGCTTACCTAGTTTTGGTATCTATTTACTTTACCTATCATATTTTATAAAATCCCTTACTTGACTTGGAATCATAAGCTATTACAAAAATGTTCTAATCATCTCTTAGAATGAAAACAGAAACTAGTTTTGTATGACTTGGTGTTTGCTGAAGGTGTGATAAGGTATTCGTTGTGACTGGACCACAACCGCACTGAGCTTATGTAGCTGCTGTAAAGAATGGAGTTAATGATGTTGACTCGCACACTCAGGGATAAGCCAGATAAACTCCTGTCTCTTTTCAAAAGGTCAAGCTTCTTTTCTGAGTTTTTTGTCAACTGATTTAACCCAAGAACTAAGTATCTGAGATGGCCTTGCTGATTTATTAACAAGATCAAACAAGGAAAACACTTTTTATTTTTGATAATAGAGGTATATTGTATATTATCACCATTCACTGACTTCTGCCATGATTAAAAGCACTTGCAAGTGCTCTAGGCTTATTAGTTCATTGTCATGCTCACTTCTAAAGCCATTTAATATTGTCTTATGGAAACTAATCAAAGCATTCGTGATATTTAGTCCTAGACTTTTTTTTTAATAGAATCCGATCACATTCTATTTTCATCTGTTTCCACATAATTTTAGTACCCTAAACCAGACTTTGTCCCTGAGGAGCAACACAGAGGATAGTCTGCTTGCTAAGAAAGCCCAGAATCATCAGTTTAAGAACATTATTGGATGATTAGGTGGATCAACAGTCATTGGAATAGTGGACCATAAGAAATGACCTTAACATTTAAGATGCTGCATTCTTGAATTGCAGATATGACCCCAGAAAAGGGAGGATGCTTTGGGTGAAAAGTCAATCCTCAAAAACAGCTATATGCTGGTGTTTGAAACAGGGAGCGCATTTGAAGGGAGAAATTGTCATGTTTTTGAACTAGGAGAGACACGTTGGATGTAGAGCTTGGGACAAAGCGTGCATGCAAGACTCAAGCTGTTTGTTTGGAGCTTTATCAAGATGTTTAGAGAGATAACTAAACCATCACATAGTCCAGTGTGCCCAACTAGCATGCTCTTCCTGGTGACTGGTGTGACTCTACCCATGTTTGACAAATTTGGGAACATTAACCCATTTTAAGAGCATAAGAATTGCCAATAGGGATGAAATACAGGGTCCATCTAATGCAGTATCTGGTCTCTAAACAATGCTAGAGAAAAGTTAGAAGAACTTTGCAAGATACAAATATGGAATTAATACCCCTTAAAAAGATCGCCTCTTAACTCAGAGGAATTAGGGTGTTTCAAAAACTGAAGCCTGACATTTAAGGTTGCTTCCGAAATGTGTTACCCGCAGCTATTACAACTCCTGATGTTTTTGTTTCTGTGTTTCCAATGATATTTACTCAGTGTTTGGCCTCGGTAACATTCCGTAGCCTGAGCTCCACTGTTTTGCAAAGCTGTTTTATAAAAAATATTTCCCTTTGTTAGTTTTGGAATTATTGCTTTCCATTTCTCTATGCCATTAACAGTGTGTCATGGTGTCTTGTGTTCTTTTGAATTTTGCTGTATTTTGTGCTACGTCTTCACTCAGCTGCCAGTAATGTCATTCAGATCCTTTTGCAGACAGTGTTTTAAATAAGAAAAATGCGCTTCTCTCACTAAAGCTTTTTATATTCTTCTCTGCCAATATGTAGTGATTACAGTATATCATACTGCTTACACTTGTAAAGCTTCCTTTGGTTAGATTTAACTTTAGGAAGCAGAACATCTGGTTTTGAAATGGCAGGTTTTGTTTCTTTCAACTTTTGCTTCATGTTTCCCATTCTGTAGCTTTGTATCTAGTTTAACCATGCGGTAAATGTACAAGTGGACCAAATTATGAATTGCATAATATGGTGACACCAGGGTATTCCTGGCTAAATGTGTTTTTGTCTCATTGCAGCCTTGTCCTTCATGTAGTACCACCCTTCCTCCCCAGTGTGATATCAGCATAGAAGAAGGAGCTATCCAAAATGGTTGTCAGGATGAGCACAAAAACAGTACTAAGGTAATTTAGGCTTCACCACTTTCCTATTTTTCCCTCATTCCTTTAGTTCAGTTATCTTTCTAATTTTTGCATTGCATTGCTTTATTTAACCTCTTTAAACTGCAGAGCCGATTTAGTTTTGAATTTTTGTGTTCTGAACTTTAGTTCAGGCACACAAATTTTCAAAATGACTAATAGTTTTGTCGGCCTGGTTTGAAACCAAGAGGGACCTGTATTTTGGACTCTAAATTGTGCTGAGGCTACCCAAAGAAAGATGCAGAAACACCACTACCACTCTCTCCGTGACTTACGCCAGTAGATTGCAGGTCACCTAGCTGCAAGTTTTGCCTATGTCTTGCCAACTCTTCTATGTAGTAGCTCTAAAACACAACCATTCCTGTTCATCCACATGACTGAGACTCTCAGCATCTCAGCTTTTCACATCCTTTTCTCTCTGACAAATGCAGTCTTACATATTCAGCGTACTGCTGCAAGGATTATTTTCCTTGCTGGTTGCTTAGATATTCTCAGGGGAGCCACCTACTTCCCCTGCAGTACCAGACATTACATATTTGTCGTCTTGTTCATGGCCCTTCATAGCCTCTCTGCTCTGCATTTTACATCTCTTTTCTGAAAATTAGACTCCCACTGAAATGCAGAGTGGACACCAGTTTTCATCACCTGACTGTTGTATTTTCCAAAAATATTAATGCCTTCCCTTCTCAGGGAGGACTTTTAAAATATCCTCAGAGCTAGCCATCCCATTTCTTCAGATCTGTCTTTAAAACTCTGCTCGCATATAGTGCTGTCCAAACACTTGTCTGATGAGCTGTTTTGTTAATCTGTGTTTGTGTCTGCATTCTGCGTGTATCTGACCTGCCGTCTCTTATGCTTAAGTTGTAAGCTCAGAGGTAGAGACAGCCTCATGGTACTGTGCTGGAGTGGTATGTAATACAGTAGGCCATATTTCTTTTCCCTGCAGCTGTATTAGCTTCTTGTGTTTGAATCATCAGGTCACTTAATCTTGGCGGGAAGAGATCTGTACAGTATTGAATAAAATGTCAGTAATTTCAGTTGAAGAAACCTGCTACTGGAGGCCAAGTCAAATATCGCTCATTTATTCCGTTTATTTGTTGCTAGTCAAAATTGGATCAGTTATGTGCCTCTCCAGTAAATCTGAGATGCCTGTTTAAATGAGTGCTACACACAGAGAAGTTACTGTGCCATTTGATTTCCATATCTCCTCTATAGTCTCAGATTTCGTAGGAAGAAAAGTCATAAGCTTGATTCACCCCTCTAGGTACTTTTTTTTTCCTATGCCACATTGCCATGTCAGCCTTTAATATTCAGGGTCTCTGTCTCTCTGTCTGCCTGTCTCATCTCCTTAAATTTATGTTAATCACTTCCTCAGTCCTTCCTCATGTCCTGTCTTCCTTTGGAGCCTTCCTGTCCTTTTACGAGAGGAAATTGTGACATGGTGCATCGAATCTGAGAGCTCAGAACTGTACGGCCTGTTGCCATCAGAAACCACAGTAACACTGGGGCTAACAACATTTATTAAATAGGGATTTTCTCCTGACACACAAGCAGTTTCAAATTCTAATCCTCTCCTGTTAAGATTAACAGAGTGGAGACAGCACAGGAAAACCTTGAGCTGACTAAAGGGAAGAATTTTCATAGGGATTTGAGCCTTTGCCAAAGAGCTAAAGAGAAAGGCCAGGAGAAGTCCATGCTGACCTTCTCTGAAAGAGCAGAAAATTGTCACTGTGTTCTTCAGATGAATTCAAAGATCAGGCAGGGAAAGCAAACAGCAGATGAGAGTGCATAAGCTTGTCGTCCACCATGACACCCAGGTCTTTCTCTGCAGAGCTGCTCTGCAGAAGGTCGGTCCCCAGCCTGTACTGGTGTCTGGGGAACCAGATATTCAAGTTGTCTGGGGAACCTATATTCAAGTTGTTCATACAAAAAAAAAAAAGCTTGCATTCTGTCGTTTAGTGCTTTTCAAGAACGTCATCTGCTGTAGGGGTGAGGAAAAAAGGGAAGATTCATTCATTCAAAAACAGTAAATAAATAAAAGAATAACTATGGCCCTCATTTTCTTAGGCCTCAAATTGTTTTGGGAAGCATCCAAAGCAGATATAATCTTTAGCGTAAATTAGGCAAAAAAGAAAGAAAAAAACAGAAGAACCTTCAATACTATCAGCTGGTTAGACATTTCTCTCTGTTTTGCTTTGTTACTCCTCACCTCAAAAAGAAAGAGGTTACTCTGGCACTGCAGTATGTCACGTGCTCCTCAGAAATGTTCTTGTTGGATAACCTAGGTAATCTGTCACCGTTATGAGAGAATCTGGTCTTAAGTTGCTGAATATTTTCCCTTAAAAAAGATTCTGTTGGCCTTTTATTTGTGAAAGTTCTCATGCCTCTGGCTTGCCAGGAGAGCAGCCCTTCATCATACAGAAGCTCCTCTCCAGTCCAAGAATCCTGGTCTGCTTTTGCTGAGTTAGGCATTGCTAAATCACTAATCTCTTTTGTTGCTTATGTTCTTTAATAAATACTGGCTGCACCTCAAGGCAGCCACTGAACTTGACCGTTTCACTTTGTCAGCTGCTGTCACTGTATTTAGAACACCTGCAAGATGCCAAAGCAGTAGTTGTGAGTGGTGGCAGGGACTAGATGTTGAATCCTTTCACCTCGTTGCTTCCAACACACGGCCCTGCAGGTTCTCACTTTCATTTGGGCAGCCCCGAGGGTCCCTCCCATGCTGGAGAGAAGGGAAGTGTAGCTCAGCTCCCCCTCCTTTTCCTGCAGTTCAGTAGTTCACTCCCGTGCACTTTGCTAGGACACGAGATGCAGAGCGGGGCTTCCTTCAGCACTTGAGGTCATGACAGTTAGAGGGAATGAAGCCCATGGGCTTTCTGAGCCTTCCCCGCGCAAGGTGAAAGTCTTCTGCTGCTCCATGTGTCTTACATAGTCACTTTATTTATGAAACAAGTTTTTAGCTCACACAAATGCTTATGTTAAAAGAATGTCATTGGAATTTTTTTTCCACCATCTTCTTGTCAGAAGATAGGGAATTATGGATAAAAAGTTGCCTGTTCTCCTTTAATTTCACCAGACTGTAATTGTGTGCCTCATTTGTTTTACAAGATAGGTGCACAAGGAGTTTGAATTAGTTTTGCATGGGTAGCCAGAGAGCAGCTATTTCTTAACTTTAGGCTGTTACTGCAATCTGAATAACATATTTCAGTGCATGATTTGGGTGGCGATGATATTTATGGTATCAACTTACGATCACTAACGTGGCATCCAATAATAGTCCTGTGGAGGAGCTAGTCACTGCTATGCTGGCTGCTCTACAGGCAGAAATGAAGAAACTTCTGTCATGAGTGGGTTTCAGGAGGAGGATAAATGACTAATTATAAGACTTGGAGGAGGTGAACAGTCAAATATGCTAGATTTGATATATGCTTAACTTTGAAAAATATAATATTATCTGACTACCTGCAGCTCCTTTTCACTCTGACAATATATAGTGGTGTTAATTTCTTGTGCTTGCTTAAATGCATATCAACGTTGATCAAACAAAGTGTAAAAGAAGCTTCAGGTTCCATGAAAACAGAGGAGTTTGTTGTCAAAACTAATTTTTGTTCTCAAATCAATCAAAGCAGAATTGGTAATGCTGTGAACTCAAGCAGTGTACCAAGCCGGTGTCAACATTTTAAAATGGCAGAAGAAAACCAGAAGGAAAAAGTATTTTCTTAGTCAAGGAAGAAAATGTGCATGATAATTTTTAATAGGACAATCAGACATATAAAGGTGCTATTTTAATAGAGCAGATAAAGAGGGAAGTTTGAGAGAGCAGCAGGACTCTAAAGTGGTCTGGAGAGGGACCAGCTAGACCAGCAGAGTAAGTTGTCTTGTGACAGAGCACAGTGTAACCAAGTATTTAAAAAGGTTTTGAAAAGAATCCTGACTTGAAGGATGGTAATGAAGGTAATGAAGTTTGGGCTTGTGGTTGGTCTTCATTTCTTGGGTGGGAAAATTACTTTGTATTCTAGTGTCTTGGAACTCGGGACATAGAAGGCAAAAAGACAACAGCTAAGTATGTGTTCTGTAGGAGAAGGTATGAATGATTTCAAAACAGTTAGAATTACATTTGTGACATGGCCAGGTAAAATTTCAGTGTGATGGTATATGGTCTGATGAGAGAACTTAATTGTAGTGTTTGTTCCATTAAATCTCTTCAGTTTGCTTTGTCAGCCATTCAGTGTTTCCTATGTGTGTTTTGCTTTTGTCCAGCAGGCTCCAGGTGGACATAATCCAAAGACGCAAAATGGACTTTTGAGTCCTCCACAGGAAGAAAAACTGAGCAATAGTCAGACCTCACTTTATGAAATGTTACAAGAGAAAGGAAGATGGGTGGGAGTGAGTCTGGATCAGTCGGCTCTCCTTCCTTTGAGGTTCAAAAACATCAGAGAAAAGACAGATGCTCATTTTGTGGATGTGATTAAAGAAGACAGGTAAGACACAACAGGTTGCATAATGTAAAAGTCCTATAAAGGAGACAGAGTAATAACACTGGTCATGTATCTTGATTTGTGTGGTTTTTTTATGTTGTTGTTGAGATGTTAAAACATGTATGTTTTCTAAACTTGGTCTGTATTCAGTTTGGAAGCTACAATAGGAATGTGACATCAAAAATATTCTGCTCAGGAATATGTAAAGCCGTTTTTTCCATCATTTTTTCCCTTTGGTGAACAGTCATTCTTCATATGTATATGTAAATAAATACATACATACACACATATATATGTATATATGTATATCACAGTTAACAATGTAACATAAAATTTGAGCCACAAAGATTCACATTCTTGTAAACCAGAACCACCACATGATGACATGTGATTTACTAATGCCTAGAAATTGTATTTGGCTTGGAAGCAGAATTACTAGGATTGAATTCTCGTGGACCTATGAGCTACCTGTAGAATTTTGTAAAATTTGCCCCTCTCCATTTCAAACAAACGACACCTCTCTTTCGGGCAGAGGAAAATATGTTCTCTAAAGTTCAGGAGCATGTAATCTTTGTAAGCATGCAACCATGTCTCCCTTGTCATGGCGGTGATTTAATCAGATCAACTTAACAGATAACTTGAATTTTGTTATTTTTTATGGCTAATCCTTTTTTTGATTCAATAACAGAAGTGCTTCCATTCGGATTAGGTGCATTTTATTTAAATATCCTTGGAAGTGTATGATCATATGTACTCCAGGCTGTTTGGAACAGGGACAGCATCTTCTTAATTGAAAACATGACCAAAGCAGGGAGAAGTGAAAGAGAGGACATTGAGAGAGGACACTGTGTTTTTGTTACATACTACTTAGTTTGTTCTTTTGCATCATTCCCTCCTAACTTTCTGCCTTTTCAAACTTCTGTTTATTTTGTTTATTATATATATACATGTCTTAGCCATTATCAAATACAGTAGATATATATTTTTTCTAAATATCCAGCTTCTGCTTCTCTATTTCTTTTTGGATTACATTTTTTTTCCTGTGGCCACCTTCAGTAAAAATTATATGTTCCTTTTTTCTAAATTTATGATTTCTGTCATGAACACCTGAGGATAGATGTTCAGCTGACATTTTCAATCAAAGTCAAAATGTTTGCAGAAATCAGAAAGAAGGTTTTTCTTTCTTTTTTAATATAACCAGTATTCTCAAATTTTAAGTTACTAAAAGTATTTATGCCAATTCATGCCCCTGGCCTGCTTCCGTTATAATGCCGATAACTCCTTCCGATTCAGAAAAAGTAGGACTCCGGTTTGACATCAGTCAAAGCCCATGGATTTTTTCCTCAATTGAAAATCCATCATTACCATATTAAGTGGGCCATTTCTTGTTACCAGGGAAACTTCTCTGCTGAGTTCAGTTCATGTAAACATAACTTTCCAAAAATAATCTTCTGATTAATTAGGTCTATGCAAAAAGGATTAAGCCCACCATTTTACATGAATCCTTTTAACCATTTTTTTAATGTTAAATTACATGTAATAAGTCATTTTCAAAACATTCTCCATCCCCTACTACGAAACATATTTACTAAGTTTGTCTTACTAAGTCTGGTAACTGAGTATCTTCAAATACAGAATATGAGTTTTCCTGTGTTGGGGGGTGGAATCCAAACTTTTATAACTTTATCCTCTTACATGAGGCCACTTTTAAATAATAATTTTGGCAAATGGCTGCTCTAGTTTTGTGCTAGTGCAACCTGAGCAGCGGTGAGCGGGGAGGCTTGGAGCGGGCTGGCAGAAGCTGCTGGGTCCTGGGGAGGCTTTTCGTTTCCCACCTCTTTCTGGAGTTGGCGTGTGCAGCTCAGACCTCCCCAGTGGCCTTTGAGCTCTCTGCGTGCTGACATTGCCCAGGAGGTGATACTAACATAGTTCCAGCGTTCCTTTTAAAATAATAAAAAAAAAAAGAAAAAAGTGTTAGTGGGGCACATTTCTATTATTACTATTTCATTATACAAGAATCCTTTTCATGGATATTATGGCTTTGCTTTTTCTTAGAACCTGATTATATATATATTTGGCAAACACTGTACAGTTTGAGTTTTTGAGCTGACTTTTTTACAGCTACTATAAGAATGTCAAGCTTTGTTCATTGTAATCTGCATGTTTTGTATTTAAAAAAAATAGTAGTACAAAAGGTGGTAAGAGTACAAAATATTTAAAATAATCTCTTTGAGGATGCCCTTACAGAATTTTCTTTTTAGATTTTTCTTTCCAAGAATGATTATTTATCCTTAAGATGATAAACCTTTTGAAGTCTAAGAACCACGTATTCATGTGCTAATTATGACTAGTTACAAAAGCTCCCTTTAGAAGTACCGAGTAGAGTCTTGGGGAAATATGAACCTTTCCTAGAAGTTACTTTCTTTATAACTCTAGAAGTTACTTTCTTTATTACCCTTTTATTTTAGCTCCCTACTTTGGCCCACTTCCTGTTGAACTGCCTTCCGTCTTTCCGCCTTTCATCTCCCAGTTTCCAGCCTTAGACTTGATTCATGGAAAACAGAGATCTCATTTGCGCTGAAGAGGCACTAGAGCCTCATGGGAAACAGGTTATGAACTTGGCTGTGTTTAGTCAACTAAACTGGGACCTTCCTCTTTAGGAGAGACGACTGCTGAGATGGAGCTGGCACAGTGTGGTGGTGGTTTGGCATCAGAAGTGCCCCCTGCCTAATTTTGGTAGTTTTGATTCCTCCCTTTATTGTGGCACTGGCAATCTGGGATCTTCTTCCTACAACCTCAGACCAGCACAACTCCTGCACAATATCAGTATAAATACTTTGATGAGCTTCACTGGAGGAATTGAAAAAAACTTGCACCACACCAAAAAAAGCTTACAAAGGTCATACTATGAGATGTTCTGTCTAGTATAATAAGATCTATGGTCACATGTCCTCTAAGTTCATGCCTCTTTAGCAGCAGTTAACCTTTATTGGCCTATACTACAGTTATCTGTAGTCATTTGGTTTTGGTTGTTAAATTCATTAAGGGATTTGTTAGTATCTTCCTGAAAATATAAATGCTTGCTCCATCATGTTTCTGTAAAATATTCTCTCTGACTGATCTAGCAAAGTGGATTGAGAGCATCAGTACCACAGTAAATTAGAGCAAAGAAACGCTGTGGCAACTTCAAAGCCAAGGTGGCCAAGCCTCAGTGTCGCTGGAGGTGGAAACCACAGAACAGTGAAGTCTGAAAGAATCACAGCTGAATAAACTGATCCTGGTATATCTTTTCTCTCTAGCCTCATGAAAGACTACTTCTTTAAACCACCTATTAACAAGCTGAGCCTCAACTTCTTGGATCAGGAACTGGAGATGACCTACAGGGAGAGCTATCAGGAAGAGGTGTGTTTCTCCTGGAGTTGATTGCCTTCTGTAATCTGTCTAAGCAACTATCTCTACTTGTACTCATGCTGTTTTTAACACATTTCTTTGCAGTTGATGACAAAGATTGAGAAATGTCAAATGAGATTTATTGCTTGGTACTGATGCCCCTGAAAACAGTCTCCTCCTTTCAGTTGACCTGTCATGTGCCAGTGCCCTGAGTCTAAGCCAGTATTTGGCTAGGAGTGCATTTTCGCAACCCACCAAGACACACAAATTTCACTTGTTTTAACCTACGTTATCTCTGTTTTTCAGGGTTACGTTTTAATGCTTTAGGTAGGCCAGGGAAGAGTAAAGAATCAATTGCTACTTTCTTCCTCAGCAATTATCCTGACTTTGAGAATGGTGACTTTGAATGTCATAATTTTTGTGTGTGTGTGCTGTGTTTCGTAGAGATGATTCACACCACTGCGTGCGGTAAGGAACTAGGTGTCTTTAGGATTCTGCATTATTTGAGCATAAAAAATGCTGAATCTCATGAAGAGAGGGGACTTTGCAAACCATAATAAACTTTCCATGTCAGTTGATATTTCTGCCTGCTTGACATGAACTAGCAAGATAAAAGTTTGCATGTAGCAACATTAGGTGTCAGTATGAACTGAGGCTGCACTTCCACAAGGAGCTGAAAATCAGCTACCAAAAGAGGGCAATCACTTTGGCTCTGGTGCTTATCAGACCTTTCCCTGCCGTGAGCCAGTTCACGTTACTAACTTACATAAAATATTAATCTATTTTCCTTCTTTATCTGGGGCCATTTTTCCCTTCTGTGTTGAACCAGTGGCTCACAATGAGCCTGGCAAGTGCCACAGTCATTGCAAGATAAGTGCCTGGGAACAGGGAGGGAAGAGAGACCTTCCCTTTCAGTAGTGGTGAACTACCTGTTTGGGGGGCCCATCTTACAGAATCCCACGCTGATCAAAACAGATGTTGATGCCCTCTTGCTCCCTGTGTGCATCCGAGGACAGCCAGGATATCTGCCATGGTTCTAGGCAGTATTGCCATGGTGTCCTTAGCAGTGCCCCTCTTTTGCTTCCTTTTCATTTTTCATAAGTGAGACCTGACTCTCTTTTTTCTCTTCTTTTCTTTTTTTTCCATTTTTTTTTTAAACAAAGGTAAGGACAGCTGTGCTGCAGTTTAATTCATTCACTGTGTTCTGGAACCCTGGGTTCATTGTGTAGCACTTTGTATCACTTGTGTCTCTCTGAATAAACCTCATGTAGCAACAACAGGAGAAACTTCCTGTGAGATAAATTCACATCTATTAAATTATATCCATTATATATCAGCAATATATGATACCTGCTCATATAAATTCACATCTATTAAATTATATCCACAGCAATATATGATACCTGCTCATCTCCTAAGTTGAGTGTAGTAAGAGAACAAGTGTTGTTTTAATACTTTCTGATTTTTTTTATAAATAATTTTAGAGTGTACTGAAAATTAATACCATAATATATATGAGGGTCTGTGTATATATGTGTGCACACACATGATGGCCTGTACAGTTTGCACATAATATACAGAAAACAGAAGATCAGAAAGAAAAGCAGTAGTATTCCAGCTTATGCAGCAATATTGACCTATTAATGTACCTACTAATGTAATTAAGTCACTCTAGTTACACTGTGTCAGCTGCATCCTTGGTTTGTGATCGCTGTCTTTCAGCAGCTGCCCTTCCTGAGAGCTGGCTTAGCCTGTTCTTGTTTGGAATTTAAGGCACTGCTTAACACTCAGTATTAAGGCATCCTTAACACTATCCCTTTTGGATGCAGTGCTGCTGTCCCTAATTCAATTTTATGTAACCGTGTGGACTAAGGAGATTCAGCTACAGCTCCGACCGAAGGGTAATTTGCACTGAAATGCTGCTGGGTGACTGTATTGGGTTGCAGAGAGGTGCAAATGAGCAACAAGTTCATCTTCCAATACTGCTGAGTGCAGATAGTGTTCTGAGGAGGAAAAGAAATTGCTGAGTGAAACCACAGGACAAGACCATAGGATTCAAACTGGGCTCCTTCTTGGCAATATTGATAATGTAATTTACATTTTTCTTTGGAACTTGCTTTCTGCCATGCAGTATCTGAGATGACTAAATTTAAAACTGCAAGCGTTAAGGCTATAAAGGGAGAGGAGCTGCAAGCTCTGCTTTAGATCCTCTGGAACAGGAGCTTAAGCTTCTTCTAAGCCCAAAGTGTCATAGTCTCTTCCTCTGTTCTCCCCCACCCCATACCACACAGAAAAGCACAAACGCTGCACGTTGCACATTCCTGCCTTCTCCCTTGGGCACAGAAACACTCCTAAGATTGGGCTCATTGGAGTAATCCAGGACGTGGAGCTCCGATTTAGTTTTCAGCTGGATTGGCCCTCAAACCAGCTCACTCCACAGCTGCACGAGCACCAGGGCCAGCACAAGATGCAAGGGGAGCGCGTGGTGAGGGGTTCGGGACAAGCAGAACGTGATGTCCTGAGCTCCATCAGTTTCAATTGCACAGTGTCCTGGTGGTTGCTTATAATCTTGTCCGAGAGACGTGAACTCTGCCACGTGCAAGTCATTGTCCCTGTAGGGGTTTTCCCAATTGTGCTGTTGGAAGCAGATTTTTTTAATTATTATTATAAAATCTTTTGCCATGTATAAGAAAAAGTGAAATTGCTAAAATCTGTGAAGAAAACTTTTAGCTTTCTTTGTTAGTGTTTTTTGATGTTTCTTTGCAAACATAGGCAATTTTTATATATGCTTTATATCGGTATTTTAACATCCTGTAAAAAATGTTAGTGGACTTTAAGAAATAAAAATAGTAGATCACCTTGAATAATGTTGCTGGTATTTGCTCTCAGTGGAAGCTCTTCTCGGCGAGTCAGGGAACTGCCTCCTTGGTTTTGGGGGAGGAGGGTTATTTGTTTTTTAGCACAATACTTACACTGAATTACTAAAGTGGCAAAATGTTTTGCATTACTTGATTAGTTTTTGAGATCTACCATCTATGCTAAGGCTAAGCCCAGCACAGGGGCTGGAGTTATTCTTGTTCATCCATTCCCTCAATCCATGTATTGCCCGTAGGTTATGAAGAATGCTCCAGTGAAGACGTTTGCCAGTGCTACCTTCAGCTCGCTCCTGGACGTGTTCCTTTCCACCACAGTCTTCCTCATCCTCTCCGTCACGTGTTTCCTGAGACACGGGATGGTCTCATCCCCTCCGCCGCCGGCCGCAGTCGTGGTGTTCGTCATCGCCATCCTGATAGAGGTGCTGTCCCTCGTCATCTCAGTTAGGTAAATGAAGTCAAAGAAAACCTTGAAATAGCAATGTGAATTAAAATGGTGGTTGGCGTGAGATAACTTATTTCACAGCATCCCAAGAACTCGCTCTGACAGGCTGTAATGTTTGAGGAATAATGTTAGGTGGATGTGTTTCTGTGCTTCCAATAACACTCATGGTCCTGTGGGTGTGTTGTCTGATTTCTGTAGATACCAACGTAACTTGTTGCTATTACTGAGTCTTTCACCGGAGTTAAGTTGTCCGTCTTTGCTTGTGAGAGGAATTTTCTTCTATCCCCCAGCCCCCATTTTATTGCAGTTCCTTCTACCACAAGAGCAGGTAATAAAGGTGATGGGTGGAAATGTATGTCCTTGCTAGTAGTTCTGCAAACCTGTAGGATATGTGTAAGTTAAAGTGTTCTTCTGATCACAAGTCAGAACAATTCTACTGATGATTCAGAAGAAAGTATTAATAAATAGCAATTTTGCACTGTTATTCTGAATTTTGAGGGTCGACTGAAAAATACTGAATTACTACTTCAGTCCCTGAAGTAAGCTTTGAACTCAAATGTGCATACAAAAGTATGCAAGCATATTTGCACAAATACAAAGCTGGCATTTTTGAGTAGAGAGATTAATATTGAACTGGAATTTGAGTAGAGAGTGGAAATGTTTTTAAAGTTAGTATTTTTAGCAGATATATTTGGTTATGACAACTTGAATAGTATAGTGCTTTTGAATTTTTTAGAAATTTGGCAAGTTAAGTGTTAGGACCTTTACTGGGAGATGCTTAAACTTCCACTATATCCTACATATCCTAAGGTAGATTAACTGTTGCTCTGTGTCCTCTTGCACCAGCTCAGTGAGGCATTATCACCTTTACAGAGCCATGTCCGTGCTCTGTCTCAGAAAAAAAAGAAAAAAAGGTTAAAGCTTTTTGTCACTATTATTTTTCTCACTTATTTTCCAGCGTGGCATACTGTCTTTGCACTTACTTTTTTTTTCATACAATTATCAAAAGGTAATGCTACACTCTTAGAAATGTTTACAGGTGTGTAGGTAAGCTTTTACTTCAGTGTTGCTTGTAATTGCTTCAGGAGTTTTTTAATGAGAAGAGAAAATGCTTTTTTCAAAATGTCGTTTATATAATTAGGAGTTTGCAAAGCAATTTTGTCTTTCTGAATTGTGTGTAGAGAGGTTTAGATTAACTGTACCGCTCTGTCGCTGAAAGCCATGCTCTCTGATAGCGAGCCTGGAGCATTGCCAAGGTGAATTTAAGTGGCTCGATAATCTTTGCTTAACAGTATTTATCTTTACCACTAATATGTCTAATATTTGTATGAGACTGTGGCTTAAAGCCTGAATTTTACTTCCTAAACCAGCCTGGACACATCATTTAGAGCCAGTAGGATTTATGAACTAAGGTGACTCCTAAGTCTCAGAAATATTTTTGAAATTTTTAATATTTCTTTCATGATTTATTCTCATTTGAAAAACAGGTTAAGAAACCTCTTATTACGGAGAACAGCTATAAACAGCCATCAAAATTTAGGTGCCCCATCTAATGTAATTACCTCTGGTCATTGGATCTAACATTGACCTGAATTTATAAAGTGCAAAGAAGGATCACCATAGATCTGAGTAGCTTTCACCCAGGACTCTTCTCTAAAAAGAGCTTCACACTGCACAATAAAAGAACACTCTTTATAGGTGAAAGTCTCAGTAGTTCTCTAGCCGTCTCCCAGTTTTAAACGTGATGGGTTGATGGGTTGTTTTTTTTGTTTTTGTTTTTTTTGTTTTGCAGGACCTCTGTTAGTAGGAACTGGTGTCTGTGCTATGTTTTTTTTTATTTATTTATTTTCCAGTAAACAAATATGCTTTCAGGCCACTCCATTCCCTGCAACACAAGGCATGCATTTATGTACATGTGTAACATCCTTCCAGTTCCTCGCTCTTTTCTAATGAAGAAAGGCCTTGCCATAACTGTGCTTAGCTGACTCGGTGGAATTCAAACTGTTTAAGGTCTCCACTATCTTGTGTATTTTCAGGTGATGGTTTTACAGACTGTTCTTTCTTTCCACTATTCAAGTATAGTGAATGTCAGCATTAGGAGGACAGACATACCGCTGTGCCTTTGTTTCATTGCACTTCCACTGAGCTAAGCAAAAACCTTTCCTTAAGGACTGCTTAGCTTACGGGCAAATACCAGCCCACTTGGACCACTAGCGATACCCGGACACGGCGCAGAACTTCCCGTACAGAAATGTCATCCCAAACAATCACAGAATACCACAGAGATATCTGAACAGAGGAGATTGGTCCACAATGCCGGGCACAATCCCAGAATTTCAGGAAAGGGATTGTTTTGGCACCAGAAAATTCTTGCTCAAGTTGATCATTGTATTTTCATTATCGTGATGTGTAACATCCTCTCTTTAAATCAGTCTAACTTCTAATTGAATCCAGTAGCCAAAGGAGGAAGTACTCGCCATAGCTCTTGTGGCCGAGACTTTTAGTCCAGTTGAAATGATGGGAGAAGTGGACACAACTGTCTATAAAATGAGAAATAAGCTAGAACTTTTAATTCTAATAGAGTTGAAGTCCAGTTGGGACAAAGCTTGAAAAGGAGAAGGATGCTTTGTTTGTTCTTTGATGTGTTTGATAATAAAGTGTTGGAGTATCTATAAATGAAATTCTCACTATCATCACAAGTGCTACTCCTAAATTAGTTGTGTTAAACTGTATGCAGAAAATAGTGCTTGCTTTGTAAGCACGTGGAATATGTCAGCTCCAGATCTGTTACTAAAACGCAAAGAGTGTCCATCTGTCTGCTTGAAATATAGCTGTTTTGACTTTCATGAGTTTAGGTAGAGTGTAAGAGGTCTTAAAGTTCAGGTAATTTATAAAAACGTCTTGGGAAATGTCATAGAGCACGTGACTAAGTGTGAGATTTCACTTGGGATCCTCAGGAATGCTTCTGCAAGAGTATAGGTAAAAGCTCTCTGCCCAGGACTTCTGTGAACTAGATAGTTCTGCTAGCTAGTTCTTTCTCTGGAGGAAAAATTGTTAGAAGAACGAGTGTTTAAAACAACACATTGCTTTTGATGGCATCCTTCAGTAGAGACTGATCAAGAACAAAAATTGCTCGCTGAAGCTAGAGCTAAATGAAGCATCTCTGTTAATGACATGACTTATATAGTGCATTGATGCGAGCGAAGACAATGTATTCCATCTGCCTTTATTTCTAACATCTGTGACTTTGGTATTTAATATCCCACCAAATTGTTGCCATGCCAAAAGCTTTTGATTTGAAATATGGGAATTGATTTCAAACTGCCAGTAAATGCAGAAATGACGGTAACATTCTCCATTACCCATTAATCATTTATGTTGAAGTTACTAATTTGAACTACAGCTTCTGTAAACATCTTAGATGCTTTAGCATTTAAGTCCTGTTGAGCTACCCACTGACACTGCATTATTTACTGATACTGCCCTGTAGCTATTAAATCTGTCTGCAGCTCTCACTGCTGTCTGGATTTAATGCGGTTCTTGCTTCCTGTGATGGGAGAGTTGTTGCTGCATTCGCAGCCTTGTGCTGTTTGATGAAGGATGGGATTTCATTTGTTTCAATTCTGGAGTGCAGAGAATGGCAATAAATTCTGGCCTGAAAAGAAGTCGATGCAAGAAGGTAAACATTATCCCTGAGAAATGTGGAGTTGCTCTGGAATTTGTGCTAGCTTTTCAAACACTCAGCTGCCTAAATAAAGAAGTGTCCTCATCACAGGATTAACTGATCAGGTTTGCTGATGGATTTGTTGCTATAGTTCCCGCAGGAATTTGTCCTGGCGTGGAGGCTTGGCAAAAAGAAAAAGCTCCCTGCACCACCTAGTCCCTGTGTAGGTTGGGGTGAGAGACATGAGTTGCGCTGAGTATCTGCCACGCTTTGCATGCCACGGAGCTGCTTTCTGTGCCAGCCTACATGAGAGCAACATGAGCGATCACGGCGAGCGTGGGCAGAGGTGGCACCGTCTGCATCTGCAGGGCTGGAGCTGCCCTGGCTCCTCCCGCAGCTGCCGTGGAGGACCCTGGTGTGCAGCCCAGCCCGGGGCCCTCTCCTGGAGCCCGGTTCTGCCTCATTTCTCACGGTTTCGCCGTGCAAACACTGATCCCAGTTTGTACGCTGAAGGAGAATTGAATTTTATTTTTAGCAGCATGAACTTGGGTGGCATTTTCAGAAGTATTTGATACTGGACTATCTTGGCTGCTACTGAAGACACGGATAGCGCTGTCATTGATGGTGGAGGCAGCTAAGCTGGGACAGTATATAAGGCTTAAGAAAAACTTCTTCCTCTGTATGTTTTTTGCATTTATTTTATTTTGAATTAATATGCAAGTTCCCTTTTTCTATGCGCTCTGTTAGAAATTTCTTTTTATGATATAATACAGCTGCTTTTAGTTTACTTAAATGGCTGTGCTTTAAATGGCAACCATTAAGTGAGGTGCTAAGAAATCTGTTACCACCCTCTTGTGGATGACTGGTGTATTACAGGGTCTGCCATGCTACCCAAATGTATTTTTTCTATGTATTAAAATATGATTCCCATATTAAAAAAAGAGAGAGAGATGAATATAGTGAACCAGGACTGAATGAAGAGTTGTTGAAGCTTCCAGAGAAAGCGGGAGGTTGCAACATTCACAGAAGTCTAGACCTGAGACTTAAAATAACGTTCATCAACTCTACATTTTTGGAAGAGGAAGAAACAGTGTTGATTTCAACAACCCCGTTATATTTGCCCTGTTCTGTATAAGGTTTTTCCATGGCACTGCACCATGTATTTTGGGCAAAAGTATTACAGAAAATCTTAAAAATGTGGCTGCTTTTGTGTTATAGGGAATGACTTTTGCAACTCTGAAGTAAGCAGATTTCCAATTCTGTGTTCACTCTTACAGCAGAGACATTCTCGCTGCTTGAGAGCATCTCTGTCCCAAAAGCAGTAATTATTTACTACTTGAGCTGTGCTGTAGTTCACTGTGACAGTGTCTCTGCCTTCCCACACTGTGTAGGTCCTTCACCGATGGCTCCTATCCAGATGTGCTACAGCCTCTCTCTTTCAAGTAGGTTAGGGAAGTTGTAGGAAGGCAGAAACCCTTTGATAAGGCAGTGAAAAGCCTGGGCACAGTCTGATAATTATATTAATCCACACCGAAATTGCTTTGTAGGGAGTTCACTGCACCACATTACCTTATTATGTCTTAATAAAAATAATAAGAAACTTGAACGGCAGCTGCAATTTTTCTAGCATGACTAATGTTTCAGCACGTTTGGAAGCAAGTTTCCAGAGATAAATAACAGTTTATTTCCGTAGATAAATAAGAGTTTATGCGCAGTGTCCTCAAGCAGTAAGCATGCTTTTCCTTTTGCTTATTCATTATAACAATTAGAAAAGCTCTCATATAAAAAAAATGTCTTTTAAATTGCTCTCAAGAACCCTTCCTCTTTCTCCGGTGGCTCCTTCAGCGCCGGGGCAGCGGCGTCTGGATTTCACCTGGGTGCTTCTGCCGAGTCGGTGCTGACCGGGAGAACTGGTTTTGATTATCCTGTGGAAAATGCGGGCGTTTGCGCTGCCTCTGGGTGGGTAATCTGCCAGGAGGATGCACAGCCCCATTTTTCAAGCATTAGTGATGGTGCTTTAACCCACCTGCTTAACCCTCTCGCTGCACCCCTCACTGCAGCAAGCAACTGGTCCTCTTGCAGCCAGCCTGGATGGTTTCCTGAGGTCAGCAGCAGCAGGTTGTACGTTGAACAATGTGCTGTGGTGCTGAGGTCAGCAGCAGCAGGTTGTACGTGAACAATGTGCTCACACAGCCTGAAGGAAGGTTTCCAACCCTTATTGCAGGCAAAGGGAGATGTACGAAGCGATGTGCTAAAACTAATGCCCTGGTCTGTCCTGTGCTTTGTTGCAGAATGGCCTTCTTTCTGGAGGAGGTGATGGCTTGCACGAAGCGTTTCCTGGAGGTGATATCTGGCTGGCTGCCTCGACACTTTTTCGGTGCAATCCTAGTTTCTCTCCCAGCTCTTGCAGTTTTTTCACACTTCACCTCTGAATTTGAAACAAATATACATGTAAGTTGCAGAAGTCCATTTCATAATGTAACATTCTGGGATCTAACAAAGAGTGTTACTGGCTTGTCTTCTTCCTTTATGTCTGCATATGTTTGATACAAATGTATTTGATATACATGTTTTGTATACTTAGGAAGTATATTTGTATACTGAAAACGCTCACTAGTAAATCTCAATAGCAAGAGCAGTATTAACGGAGCATTTTTCCTTTGCGGTGTTAGATGGAGGAGCTCAAAGCAGGGAGAGGTGATTGAGTTGACAGAAAAGAGCAGTAGAACTATGCAGAAATGCAGTTAGGAAATCCAGTGAGCTACAAGTTTCTGGGCATCAGATGCTTAAGCCGATGTCTCTGAATGACTGGCTTTTTGCAGCTAGACATGTACTCTTGCTCAACATTGCATTCTCAGGACAATATTATGTTCATGTGTCTGTCATAGCTGGAGTCATATTAGACAGAAATGGGTGTTTTGGAGAGGCAGACATCTATCTTTTGCCTTCTTTCTTTTTTTTTTCTCTTAATGTAGCACCATGTATGACCATTCCTTTCCAGGATCTTCTGAGAAGGCTATTTCACAAATCTCTTGCTATTTTGGGCCCCTGGGTGTAGGTAATGACCAAATATTCTTTATTCTTTCTATCACATTACAGGTGCACAGATTATTTTTGGTTCCTGAGAAGCATTTGGTCTGTGGGAGTGTGTGGACCAGATGTTCTGTGGTCATTCCTGACTTAAACATATTCTCTAATTTTCACATCACAGAGACTGGATTCAAGATTCTCTGGCATGTCACGTTAAGATCATTCTGCAGCTTTTACCTTTGTGAACATAACAGGAGTGAAATATTTTAAACCTATATGAATTTCTTTAGTAATTGAATTCTTCCCTCATGATCACCAGTTAACCAGTTTTAGGAGTGTTTTCCTTGCACTGAAGGGAGCTGAAAAACCTCAGATTTGTTTAATTTCTCTGTTCATTGTATATAATTTTGTTCACCACTGTCCTTGCTTCTGTATCCAAGCATTTAAAAATAAAATGAAGAACCACCATGTAAGTGTATTCTCAATACCTCTTCAGATCAGGTTATTAGTCCAAATGCTTCAATAAGATGGTGGTGGTCATCACAAAACTGAGAATGAGCTTTGCTTTCTTTCCTCTTGCAGGTCCTCCAGAGTCGTGGGGTTGTTGGCTCACTCTCCAAGAGATGTCCCAACTCGTCCTGTGCTCAGTGATGCTTCAACAATCATGGAGCTCTAGGAAATGGAACCAGTCTATAGAGGGTCAGGTAAGCGTCATATTTTACTATGACATGGTTTTGCAAAGTTTTTTTTAATTCATGACATTTTATACCTGCCTGGATATAAATAACTAAAATCAAAAATAACAACAGCAACAACGAAAAAAAAAAAACTTTCCAAAGCCATGCATACATAGTAAAACACAGCACTTACTGACCCTCTATAGGCTGGCTTCATGCTGGGGCATCACTTGGAGTGAGAACCAGTGCTCTGCCACTTTAGGAGGCCTGAAATGGGGGAAAAAAAGTAAGTTTAAATTATGTTTTTTTGTGGACACTTCTGAAATTCATTTTATTCATTTTTGAGTCATTAAATTAAAACTGTACTTGTGGTTTAAAGTGGTCAATTATGTAAGATTTTTTTTTCTCATATGTAAACTGTTTCTACCTCTGAATCACATGCTTATTTGTTATGCTACAGGATTTCTAATTTTCAGTTTTTGTACTCCAGGTGTAAAAGAAATACAAAATGGAAGACAGGGAAGATGATCGTTTTGATACTGTAAAATCCAGTATGTAAGCTAGAACAAAGAGAGAGCTCTATAATGTAGTTGTGGAGTCTCTGTTTTAGCTTGGATTGTCATTGACATTTTTGATGCAATCAGAATTGATACATCAAGAGTTTTGTTTACTACGCCACTGTATCTCAGAGAAATTAAGACATTCTGGGGAATATACCTGTTCTGCACTTCCTTTCCTTTCTCTGGTAAAAATTTGAAAAGAGGAAAGTTTTATGAGATAGGAATTTGGGATAGATTTTAAGATAAGGCAGATGTACGAAGTGTCGGAGGGCAAATGTGTACCACATTTTTCAATCAACTGGAGTTTAATTTAAAATAGCAGGATCCACTGTCAGTAGTTAGAGAGGAGGTTGCATGAATGTTCACCTTTTTCTAACAGGAGGAAGCACTAAGCTTTTTGAAAGGTAAGATGAAAGTGTGGAAAATACCATGGTCGCATAATGCGGTAACACAAAACTCCCAACTAGTGAAAACTCTGACAAACTCTCTATGCTATTAATTTTCTTGTCTTTCTAATGGAAAACTTCCAGCTTGAAGTGCTGTCTCCTGAAGCTGCACCGAGAGTATGTAGGATTGTTTAAAGTGCATTTCTACAGAGGAAATTAGGTTTTTCTCTTGTGTGTCACATGTTCCTTTATTTAAGGTGACATTTGTGTACAAAAGGGCTGCAGTCCCCAAGAAGATGCTAATTTGCACTCTCTCTCTCTTGCAGTACACCATGTTTATGTGTTGTGCGATTCTGATCACCATTGTCCAGTACTGTAACTTCTGCCAGCTTAGCTCCTGGATGAGATCCCTCTTGGCAACTATAGTAGGAGCCGTGCTTCTCATTTTGCTCTACGTCTCCTTGTGTCCAGACAGGTGAGCCTCATACCTTAGCATTCATAAGCCATGTTTTGGTTTTATTTGTTTTCTGCACTTGCCAAGTGAGAGTCCAACACGTGTTTTTTTTTTTTTTTTTTTTTTTAATATATCATGAATTTCCCAAATATCTCAAACTTCGAAAGTTGATTTGGGAAGAAATCTGCTTGATTTCAAGGATTTCACAGAGATATCTGAGGGTCTCTTTCCTGTAATCTATTCTGAAATCTTGCTCTGTCTTCAAGAGATATGTCTCTAGGGCATGCTTGCACATATCAGGCAAACTTCCAGAAGAATTTCCTTTCCATCTTCTGTTTTCAAAACTCTGCTTTCTTATTGAAAGAAATTTTTGAGGTACCTTGTGGTGCCCTTGGGTAAAATCCCTTCTTCAGTTGTTCCTAAACTCTGCTTTCTTATTGAAAGAAATTGTTGAGGTACCTTGTGGTGCCCTTCTTCAGTTGTTCCCCCATGCTCGTCTAGCTTTATGTTTGGCCTTAGGATTCTCGTATCTTTCTTCCAACTTGCTCCTCAAGAATTTTACACTGTGGAAAGTAGATGCTCAAATTTACTAGGGGTCTAATAGCTTGTTTCCTCCCTCTCTCTCTTTTGTTTTTTCAGAAGATGCCGGAAGACAGTAACCAGAGAAATCTAGTTAATGCAGTTTCTGTGTAGTAACATTAAAGCTTTTCAGTTTTCTTCTGATAAACAATTTTCCCCATAGGGGAGCTTGTTTGCAGGAACATCCTTCTATTTTCTAGCCAAAATATGCAAGGGACTCCTTCCAGCTGTCTGTCTACTCTTACTGTTAAAATTCTATAATCAAGTTACACTTTTGAGGGGCTTAAGATATATAAACTTTGGCACTTTACCGCAGTGTAGGCTTTGCAAGGACTTTGTATGCCAGATTACTGCAGTCTCTATCAAAAACCCTTCTTTTTATCCTCCTCTTTACCCTGCTGAGCCATATGGTGAAAAGCATGAAAGAAATAAAGCATTTGTAGGTACATGGTTTGTGCAAGTACTTAGCTTCTAAGTCCCTCTTCAAATATATGCAGTGGTCTCTCTCAATCTTGATTTTATTTTAAA